CCAGCGGGAGACGGTGGCCCTGCTTGGAAGGCAGTGAGACAACGGGTGATCCGGCGCTGCAGCCTTCAGTGGAAACGAAGGCCTGTCTGACTTTATGAGGCAGTTTTCATCAATGATTGCAGGCCGCGTCCCCACAAGTGTGCTTTTTAATAGCCTGGTGGTTTACCTGCTAAACAATTCCCTGCGTCTCAATTTACCTTGTCAGTTTCTCTCTCTCGATTCCCACTGTCCAGGATTTGAATGCCTTTTTTTAACAATTTACAGCAGTGTAGAAGTGTACATCTCTAAGCAGCCCTGACCATGTGTTGCAGTGCAGAGAAACCTGTATAGTTAAGCATCCCAACTGTGTCCTTCCAAAAACAAGCGTTTAAAACCAACTCCTTGTTTTACTAAAGGCATGCAGCCTTGAAACCCGTTTGTAAAAATACAGTTTGTTACAAATTAAGCTAAAATAAATTTCAGAAATCCTAAGCAGTGCTGTTTGTCACCAAAGGGCTGACTCACTTGCTGAAGTTGATGGCTTTTTTAAAATATTCCAACCAGCCATGGGTGGCTCTAAATGTCTCTTGGCTGCCTGAAGATCTTTCTTCTCCTTCGTAATACCCGAAATATTCCCGTTGAGATTTTGCTGTCTCCTGATTCCTGATGAGACCCGACGGAGGGCGGCATAGAATTAATTCTTCAGGACCACAAACAAAGGAGCTTTTTCTTCATTGTGCTCTCGCTCGTTCGTCTAGGAACTGCTGAGAATGGAGTCTGCACTCTCTGTCCCTTAAGAATTTGGACCTTACACATCTAATGACTTTGTATCCAGACTTAAAGACCACCTCGACTTCTAAACTGCAACACCAGGCAATGCTGCCATGCATTGGGAAGCCATGTTGAAGGAGATAAAACTCGCACAAGCGTCTTGAGCTCCGAACAGGCTCCAGTGCCCAAGAAGCAGTCCAGTTTAAAGACTGGCTGTGCAAGGGGTACTGCGCAGGGATGACCTGGTGTAAAATGTTATTAATTGCGCATTCATGTAACAGAGAGAGTGCACAGGAGTTACGTGTTGCAAACGCGACATGAAGGCTATCGACCCTGGAACATGGGGAAACCATTGCGGCAGACCGTGGCCAGTGGAGGCAGCCATTGGGAAGAGTGGGCAGAGGAGGTACGAGATGTGGGAGGAGACGAGGGAGTGAAGACGGCAGAAGGCAACCCCATCCCCTTTACCGCCAGAGTCACTCTTCACCTATGGAAACCGCAACAAAGCTTGTTGCTCCAGACGTGGACTGTACAGTCACAGTGGGCGGTTCTACTGACTGAGCACGGCGCAAAACTCCCTTGTCTCTTGAGACCGATGGATGCCAGAGAGAGAGAGTACACTGGAGGGGAGGGTGGTTAGTGCTGCAACTGAGATTAAATGCATTTAAAAGTAATGATTTTTTCAAGATATGGGAGGGGTTTCCACTTTGTCCTGCTAATATTTTTTTTCCTCTTGCACAGAAGCAGCAAGCAGTTTTATAACAATTTGGTCCACCGACATGCCAAGCTATATAAACGGATATACTGCATATTCACAAATTTAATCTGTGCAGATTTGATTAGCGTAATGTAACAACCGTGAGAGGCCCAGTATCTTGGGCTGGGTTGTATTAAAAGCCTGCAGCTAGTAAAATCTGAGCTGGATCAAGCTGCTATACATGGTGAGTCTTGTAGCCTCCCCTCAACTGACTGTCAGGTTAAAATAGTTGTTTCAGCGGGATTCAGTTATTCTTGTCTGATTTGGTTCCAGACTATGTGAAGATAAATTGGCTCTGGCTCATTTTGGATGGTTTCAGCACTTTTTAATAGGATCCTCTTCCATTGCCAAGTTTTCAGTACTTGTTTACAGAGTGACTTAAACAATCAAGCAGTTAATGTGTCGTAACACCATGGCATACAGACTAATTGAAGTGAGATTATACCAGGGGGTCAGATTCAGTTATTCATCTGGACAGGCAGGAAGGCAAATGTACACACTTGGAACGTGTTGCACATTTTTTTCAATTTATCCTTAAAACCTTTGAATGTTTTTTTTTTAACGGCTTCACATCCTGTTAGAGATGCTTTTTTGTCTTCAGACTTTGTCTGCAGAAGTCCATCTGTTGCCTGCTGTTTGCAGACGTGAGCTGAATGAGTACACCTGTGCCGTCTGACCATGGAGTCTGTCTGCACTTTCTGGTTTGCAGGAGCAGCACTGGTGCACTTGGACAGGGGCAAAGTGGGGATATTTGTGGAGTAGACCTGTGGGACACGACTGTGTGAAATCTGTTTTAAAAAGACAATTATATTAGGGAAAAAAAAAAACAAGAGGTGGGGGTGACTACCATACAGAAGACCAGACTTTATAAGATGAAGAGAAGTTTTATACTTTGAAACTTAGGGAAAGGGTTGAGTTGTAACTGCTGCAAGTGTGGTCTGTGTCCATTCTGACAGACTGACGATTGTATTTTAAGTGCTTCCATGCTTGTAAATGTTTGAGTGCTCTTCAATAAGAATCCAAACCATAAGAATTTGCCATCCTGCAATGTAAATTAGATAGTGCTTTGTATAAACTAAAACCCAGATTATTTACAGTTTTACCAGAATAACAATAAAACACTTTTTGGGGGGGTCGCTGTTCAGTTTTTCCCCACAGAAAACTTCTGTATTTTATAAACATTGATTCCTGAAAAGGGCGCAAAGTGGCTTTAATACAGGAACGTACCGTAAATCATTCTTAAAGTAGTTTAACAAAGATGATTTTGGTTCAGAAAAAGGAGAAATGCAAGATTCGGGTCAGGGGATTTCTGTCGGCAAGGTGTCATTTTTAAAACCTCTACTTACCTGCTGATCTGTATCATCGCACCACGCTGTACAAGAAGTGAGAGCTTCCAGACGAGAACTTGACCTTTATGCATCTACATCTCGGCTGGATTTGATAGATTTGATTTTTAATTGTCCCTTTCGAGGTGTGTGCTTAGGTGCAATGGGAGATTGAAACAGGTCTGCGGTGCAAAAGTGGTTGCGACAAAAACGGGCTGTGAAACTTAATAAATGGAAGTGATGACAAACACTGACACAGGAGGTGCTGTAGCAGCTCTGCTGATTGTGCAGCTGAGGTCGAGGCCCTCAGCTGCTGATCTGGATGCGGTAACTACGCTGATGTATGTCAGGCCAGTTGTAATGGGATTTTAGAACTCGCTCGGTGTCATTATAGAGGTTTTCAGCTCGACATGTCCCCGTAGTTTCATTCCCTTTAAGTGAAGGATTTCAGCATGGGAACAAGGGTTTGCTGAATCCTAAATGGATAATTACTCTTCAAAGCCCAAAGGTGCTGCATAAACGATGGGCAAATTTGGGGAAATAAAGGTTTTGATGCACCTCTAATTTTTGATGTAAAGTGCCCTTTTTTCCCCATTTACGGTTGCCTGTGGTTTTTAAGGAGCTGTGGTTTTTAGGTTTACACTACCTAAAAGGGTGGGAGTTGAGAATTGGAGCATGATTAAAAAAAAAAGAGAAACAAAAAAGCTTGTCATAGAGGTGATCTGGGTTCATCCACAGCTTTCATGATCAGGATTTTACCATAATAGACCAATGCCCACGATTGAAGGAGAGGGTTGATGCCATGAGGTGTGTGATGGTCGCATTTGGTGAGTCTCGAAATTATCAAGGAGCTAATTTATCCAAGGATCTCATCCAGGCCTTTCCTGAAAGAAGCCGGTTGAAGTTTTGTCTTCACCAACAGGGCTGTATAGCTTGTTCGAGTCCCACAACCCTTACGGTAAAGAGGTGCCACTTATTCTCCATTTGAAATGCACCTCCCTATTGTTATGAACTCTGCCCTGTGCTTCTTGTGTCAGTCTTGACACTGGAGAGGCTCACAGGGCTGTCTTTATTTTGAGTTCTTGAATTGGGTCACCTTGTAATCTTCTGGTGAGCACTAAAAAGATTTGATTCTTTATTTTATCCTTTCAGAATATGGCATTGCTGTAAACCCAATCATGTAAATGGTTAATCTTTGGATTCCAGTGCAGCTATATCTTCTGTGGGTTTTTATGACTGACGATATACAAGATATCGTAAATGGATAACAATATAACCTTATAACCTTGTTTCATTACATCATCTAGACAGTTTACTGTAAGTGTTTACATAAATACCCAAGTCTTTAAGTACAATCTGCAACCTCAACCTCAGTTTCCCATTTTAGATTTGTAGCTTGTTTTTGCTGTCTGAGTGCAACACCCAGTAAATGTCATCTGCCAGGTGTTTGCTCATTTTTGAATTCTATGATTTCTTGAACCTTTGAAATATTTACATTATTTATCCTCCTTTTTGGTATCGTCTGCAAACATCACCATTTTACCAACTATACCATAATCTCAATCACTGATAGGCATGAGAGCAGTGGTCCTAATACAAACCCCTGTGGCACTACTTACCTCTGGCTTAATTCTACACTTTTAGCAATGTAACTGAACGTTGCGTTTAGCTTTTTATTTCCTTCCAATATTGCATGGGCAATGAAAGTGACACTTCACTATAAACCCCTAGTGATGGAGCATGTGTGCAGTCCAAGCCTCGATATTGAACCAGAGCTCCTGCCCTCAAAGGAAAATTGCCCTCATCACATCATCAGAAGGCCTTGTCCAGCATTTTAGCACTGCACCATCAATTGAGCATCTTGCTGTTCATGCTAAACTTTCATCGTGAATGCTGGAATAAAAGAAAATAAAGTTTGACTAGACCAAGTAATTTATCCCATGAGATGTTATGATTAGCCTGTGCAGTCAATTTCAGATTTAGATTGCACACTTGAAAGGGATTTGGAAATGCTTTCATTCACACTTATCTGTAGAATATTAGTGTTTAAGAATGTACTTCTAGTCTGTGTCCTCCTCTTCTCCTCGGTTCTTTGTTTATATTCAACAAGATCAACATAACTCATTCCTTTAACAAAGCCCATTTACTCATTAGAATGTTGCACCTTTCATATAAAACTTGTGCAACCGAGCAGTGCTATCTCAGAATTCACAGGCTCTCCCTGTGGATTCTCTTTGGTCCCAGTGGCGTGTTTCTTGCACAGTGGAGGGTGTGTGTTTGCGAGATAACAAATTACACTAAACTGCACACACCCACTCGCACCGAACTGTCCTCACTTTTCAGAACTGCATCCAGGGCTGCTTGCTGGCTGCTTGCCCAGCTTGGTGAAAAAGGATGGAGTGTTATCTGCCCGTCCGTCAAGTTCGCAATCTGACTTTGCTCTTGTTCTGGCTATTCCACAGCATGGACGGCGCAGACCTGTGCTTTGAGATCGTCAAGAGAGCGGACGCTGGTTTCGTATACAGCGAAGCAGTGGCGAGGTGAGTAGAACTTGTACTTATTTCTTGGGCTTCGTGATGTAAAATACCCTTTCAAACTGCTTTACCTATCTGGATCACAGGCTGTTCTGAACTAAAAAGTTCAGCGGAGTGTTCGTTGATCTCTTTTCAAAATCGATGTCTCTCACCATGATACTGTATATGAAAATGAGGAATCTTGACAAAAGAGTAGGCACATAACAGAGCACACATGAACATTTGTGTCTGCTTGTTTGGCTTTGTCCATCATGCCAGGGCTCAGATCGGACTGAAAGGTGGCGTTTATGATGTTGCAGTGAAATAACTGTGGCGATATTAAGCATGTATCTGTATCGCTGTATCTGAGCAGGTGCTCCTTTTAACTGCAGTAGTGAAGTTACTAGTTATTGTATGCCATCAGAAATGTGGAAAAGTAAGCAATGGAGGGATGGAGTCAATGCAAGTTTGTCTGCTCTCCCTGGAGTTTTAGCCATTGTTATAGTTCATAATGCCAGTTCCTAATTGGGTGGGCACATGATAGAATGCCAAATTTAGCAATTCTAATTTAAGTAGATGTCATTGTTGAGCGCTAGTGAGGGTTCCCCCCAAGTAAATGTGACATTTTAAACTGCCGTTCCTTGACGCGTGTCTGTCAGTTCTCTACTTCTCACAAGCACATGCAAAGAACACATTGGTACAGCACTGCAGATAACATTTATCTGTTCCTGCATCCTTCCCTAGGGAATACTGGTCTGAAAATTAATTGTTGTTGCTTTGGGAGCTTTGTCTTTTGTCTGTGCTTCAACATTTACGATACAGAATCAGTATATTTAGGCTTTATTTTGAACTTTGCATGGAATCTACATATTTGTCAGGATTAATATTTTTCTTGTACTTTTGTTAGCAGTGTTCTTGGAATGTTATGAACTGGAATTTGTTTGATCTGGTTCTGTCGTGGCCTTGAGGGCCTGTGGTGTCAGACATGAATCTGCGCTGCTGTCTTGCTCAGGGCCCTGGGGCGCAGAGCCCAGTTTGAACAGGATGGCGCGTGTCTCTGGCCCTGCGGGTGGGCTTGCCTGTGAGTTTTTTTTTTAACTGTTAGTCATGACGGGCAAACGTTGAGCAAGAGCACTGAGTGGCCAGGCAGATGATGGCATTAACGCCACGAAGAGTGCTATAATTTAATGTTTTACTGCAATATTAGGTGCCTTTGTTGTGCAGTACGGTATAGGTGTTCTCTCCATCTTCTTAGTAGAGTGAGAAACTGTTTTGAAAATTATGTTCCACTGTTACCGTTTGCAGGTTACAGTGAAATAGTTGTTGTTTTGATCCTTCCTCTGTTGAAAAGCCATTTCCTGTCCAGTTGTGAAATAGTAGTGCTGTTGGATATCCTCAAAACATATTCACCTTGTATTTTCTTAGGAGAAATCAGGTTATAGAGCACATATGGCTTGGAGGTCGTGGTGAGTCACCCCAGGCCCAGAGCGTTCATAATTGTGGGTGCTGTTGTCTTTGCAAGGTGGCACTGGTCAGAAAGGGTGCATTAGAATGAGCCATGTGAGGGTATCTTGGAGTAGACAAGAGAAGACTCCCTGATTGCTGGCATGCACACAGTCGTGTTGACGGTACTCCCAAATTCGCAGGTTTCTGTTTCACCAGGGAGTGCAGGGAGGCAAATTTTGATTAATTTAGCAAGTTTATTATATGCTCTGCTGTAGGAAGCAATGCTTTAATTGTGGTCCTCTTGACTTGTGTGGTGGTATTTTGAAATGGTTTCTAAACTACTGAATTGAGCAAATGCGCTTCTTACTGCGCGTTTTGGAAACAGGATTATTCCAGGTGAAACTGAAGGTTGACTCACATTGTGGATTGTGGTTACCCTACAGGACCAGGGTTGTCTACCCTACACACTGTTGTCACACTGCAGGACTCGACACGACTTCTAGATGGAGAGCATGTCAAATTTAACAACTGGAGTTGCTGAATCTCGCTGCCTTTTCTGTCCTAGAGGGTGTCAAATTATATGGCAAGGAATCGCAGTGGTGACTAATTACACTATTCCCTCACAACATTTCACCACAGTTCCAAATCTCGTAATCTCGCAAAAGTACCGCGAGGTCGCCTCATTTTGGCAACCGATCAACATGGAGCACAAAGTTTTCCACAAATAATCTTCTTCAAAAATATAATTCTTCTTTATAAATATAGAATAAATGTACAGAAATAAAACACCTTTAAAAATATAAAACACCTTTAAAACAAATATTGTAAACAAATTGGTATTGTGCTATAACGTGTAATATATTGTGCACATTATATGCAAGTACAAATCTGGCTCATTGCCCACACCTATGACTTGCAACTCGTTACACGAAAATCAAACCAGTTTGATTTTATCGTAGCGAGGTGCAGAGAGCTGGAGAGCATGTTAAGACCGAGTTGGTGGGCGTGTCACACTACACAACTGCAGGTAACGGTCGAGCTGCGACTCTCTACAACTCGCTGTGATTTTCTTACGATTATGTAAATGAAGGCTACGACTGAATCTTGGGAAAAGTCATGTACTGTAGTGTGATGCCGGCGTTGGAAATCTGCCACTGAACAGGCCTGATCTCCTGATGAGGGACAAGTTACTGATTAAGCCCTAATGATTTATGGTTTTGAGGCAAGCAGATCTTTCTTTCGCACAGAGTATTGCCCTAGCACACATTGGAATTGGAGGTCTCAGCAGGTTTCATTAGCTATCAAGTAAATGGACGGATAAAAAATTAAGTTGAAAATTCCCAGTTCACTTGAAATATATACTTTGTATCTTGTAACACAGCTAGAACATGGATTTGGATTATTAACACTGAGCCCTACCCAGAATTCTGTATGAAGCTTTCCTGACTGGCAGTGCTCCAGTAAAACGCATTTTGGCATAGTTCAAGCAATAAATTAAACTGATTAAAAATAATGAAGCAATTATCACATAGGTGAGGAGAACTGGTGATGTTATATAGCAGTTACACAAGTCCACGCTCTACAGCAAATTAAAATCTTTATTTAATCATGTCTCTCCACATATAAACATTCATCTGGTCTGTTCTGCTCTTTTCTCACATTGTGCCTGTTAGTGCATGTACCATTAAAATTTACAGTGTAATACAACCTTTTGCGTTGTACAGAAAACCTTTTAACATTTTTCTGCACTGATTCAGTGCATGCGTTGGCAACTCATTACCTGTTTTTAATAAACTGTAATTTCTGATTGATTTCATTTTGAACTGTGAACCCTTAATATGGGCATCTTAATCATTCGGAGAGCAGAAACTAATCTCAACAAGAAACTACGAGAAACTAAGTAAATGATGTTTAAGTCATTTCTCAGTTAATTTATACAGTTCATGTGAATTTATAGCCTTTTGTTCTCTAGGCATTCTCTAGAAAATGTTGCATGTTGAAAAACAGGCCTTGAAACGTTTGGTCTTTACGGTAAAAACAAAAATAGAATCTGAATGCTATGATGAGAAATTACCTCGATCCATAAGCCAGACTCAGTCCAAGTGGTACCTGAAGGATGTGTTTGCAGGCCATTTTGGCAGTTTTGTGTATTTGTTTTATTGTTTTATTTTATTGATGTCCTTCTCCGTTGAGAGGTGGTCTCTTCTGCCATTCGGTGTTCTGCCCCAGTGCCAGTGACCTTTCATGCACATTCGATGGAGAAAAAGACTTTGAATGCTGCTGTCAGTTCAATACATCTCTCTTTCTTTTCCAGTCACTACATGCGACAGATTCTTGAAGCACTGCGCTATTGTCATGACAACAACGTCATTCACCGAGATGTAAAGGTAAGACATGTTGTGTGTTTTATATAGCATGCACTTCCTGTTTCCAAGATGGTTACTTCTCTTCAAGACACTAAAAGTGCTGCAGTACAGACCACTGTCCAATTATTTTTGCTTGGGTGATTCATCCTTCTGCGTTGGCCATAATGGTGATTGTCATGATACTGAAGTATCGATAAAACGATTCCAAAACCAGTTGTGTTGTATGTGTCATCCAAATAAACATAAAGTAAAATATATATAGAATATAGAAATGTATAAAATGTATAGGAAGGGTTTCTTTCTAGTTAACCATACACAGTAATGTATGAGCCTTATGGATTTTGGCAGTAAACTGTACTTTTTTTGCTTGCAAAATGTTCTTGTGGTGAAATGTGAGTTGTACAGCCTATGCAGTTGAGATACTGAAAACCGGCAGCAGTAGACGTTAGTTCTCTATGGCTGCGCACTTTGCAATTCCTCCTGGTTACAGCATCTTGTAAACATTGGAAGGCAGCACTGATAATGAGAGATGCAAGGACAGACGTTGATTGATTAACGGCGCACTCGTCCATCTTAAAGGGCCTTGATTATATTTTACGCAAGAGTGGGCGGCTCTATGATACACACAGTTCTGAAATGGGGGGGTTCTTTGCTGTAATGAATTGTGGGTCATTTATGTCTCTCTTTGATTCATCCCATTAACATGGTCCCATTGTTTTAGATCACCTTGGGACTAATGAGCTTTGTTTAGCTTTAAACATCATTGAGTGCATCTACTAACAGTGGGCTGGAAAACATAATATCATATACTTGAACTTTTCAGTGAGATGACAACACCTACATGATTGAATGTGGCCTCGGGAGAGCTTGTAAATTTAATGGCCTTTCCCCAGCCTGCAATATTTGTCCGCTGCTGATGCGGTTTGGACATGTTATGCACCTAATCACCTTCATTCACTGGATCTCAAAGATGACTTGGAGAAAATGCCGCTGATTTGAACTCAGGCTTCTTTCGATTCACAAATTAAAACAGAGAAGCAATTGGCAGGTCAACCAAAGTGAGGCAGATAATTGAAAAGAGAAAGGAAATCGCTGCAGTCACTGAAGGTGCATGTTTCAGTGTGTTACTGGTTTTTGCAACTTGCTTCACTGTGAGCCAGCAGCCATTTCATCCTGCAACTCACAACTGGTAACCCACTGAAACTGAGCAGGCAGGTGTGAGCCTGGTCAGTACCTGGACAGGAGTCCTCCCAGGAATGCTAAGGCTGCTGCTGGAAGAGGTGTTAGTGAGGCCAGTATACTGTAAGAAGGCACTGTCTTTCAGATGAGATGTAAAACTGAGGTCCTGACTCACGATGGTTACTGACAACACCAGGGCGTAACCCCTCATAGAAATGGTATGGTGCTTTAAATACAATGATTGTGTGCACAAATATAGAAATAGATACAGAAATGACAGACTATGAAATGTTCAAGAAATGTAAATTTAATCTAAAACTCTCCTTTGAAAGCAGACTTGATGTGCTTCTGCAGTAGGAGGCGAGACGTTTACAGTTCGTTAGTCCCTAGAACGAAAGTCATCCTTGCACAATATTAAAAGTGAATCAAAGGGCAAGGTGTTCTTTGATCTGTAGTTGAAGAGCGTGAAGTGTTCCCAGACAACATTCGGAACTTGAAAGTGTTAGCCGATTGACTAAAGGAATAGAAAACTCATGGTCGTCACGTGGCTGAAGTTAATGTAACAACTTTGAAAGCAGATCACTGACCCTTGTATTATTTTTTATGACTCATTTTTATAGAGAGAAAAAAAGGTCCGATTTGTTCATTTAAGATCCCAGGTCACTGTTCGCATGAGTAGTAACTGTGGTGTCGACTCTGGATTTGTAAAGGTCACCCTTAATTCAACAGATGGAGTTTCTCACTCCTTGCTCTGATCTGCTATGCAAAAGAGCTCTAGATGCAGAGTGACTGCTGTGTCACACTCAGGTGAGGCTCCACTTCAATGCTGAATGTAGAGGGTCCCCTTCATAATTTTTATTCGCAGTGATGATAGGCGTCGTCACTACATGTAGTGATGGAGATACTCGTTTACAGTTTATTATTTGACACTAAGTCCAGCTGCTTAAACTCATCTTTTATGGCGTGCGCATTTGATTTTGCCATTTGAGAAAAATAATGCCACAATATTTTGTAAAGTATATCCAGTGTCAATGCTCTTGTCTCATACTGCAATTCTAAATATGTGCAAATATGTGTATAAAAATATATAAAATATATGGTGTCCCTAACCTAACTTACAGCCTTGTCTATTGAGGTAGAAAAATTCTACTAGTATATTAATCCATTTAGTTCTCAGGCTGGACTCATGTTTTGGGTAGTAGGGTAAAATTTCCTGTTTTTTTACAGTACAGCGTTCATTGTTTTTTAGACATTAGTTTTGATTCAAAGTGAGATCGAAATGCTCATTTGACATGCTGCTCTAATCCTCAAAATGTTTCACAAATCCTCTCTCATGTACGATGCTACAAAATAGTTTGCTTAACAGGGTATGATAACTTTTATTTATTATTAACCGCACCTGCAGTGGTGGCATTAAGAAAAAGTGCTTCACACAAGGTTATCTGCTAAGGATTTGCTACATAGCAAAGCCCAGTTGACAGAAGCCACACTTTGGCAAGGCTCAATTTTAGCTCACTTGTTTGGAGATTTCTGCCTTCTGTCTCTAATAAATTGGATTTTTGTAGCAGACTGGGCGAAAATCGGTTGTCTGTTTAGCAGGAGTACTGGAGGATGGCTCAGATCTCAGTCTGAGCAGCGTTTTAAATCTTGTGCAGCGGGCAGGAGTGAGGTGTTAGCAAGAACAGTCAGCGGGCCAGGGCTATCTCGTTTCATCAGCACCGTTATCAGGGAGAGTGCCTCGAACCGATTTCAAATAACTCGCTGCGGGAGAGTAGAAAAATATACCTGCTGTGCTGACGTTACAAGGAAGGTTTCTCTGTGGTTGAAAGAAAAAAGCTTTTTATTTGAAGATTTGGTATAATTTTCATCTCGCATGGAATTATACCCCTCGCTTCCACGGATGCTCTTACCCTAGTTTTGGCAGAATTCAAAAACTGACAGACGCAAAACAATAAAATTGAATTTTTTTTATACTTACCTATATGTCAAGATCACTGAGGACTATTTTGACAGTTGTAACGACAGATGGACAGTACGCACAGGAACATCACACAGGACACTGAGCACAGGAACATTACAGACAGTGCTTGAAGGCAAGATGACCTCATTGTTTGTGTATGGTCTCTCCTGTCACAGTGAACAACAATGTTAGACAGACTGGGGTTTCACAGACAAGCGTGGGTGACTTCAGGGACAGTGATGTCCTTGCCATTGTCCAGAGGGAGAGTTCCCTAAAGTGTGCGCAACAAGAAACGAGGCCTATGTGGCTGCAAGGACAATCTTGGTGGAAGCTTACAGACAGGTTTTCCCTTTGGCCTCTGAATTTGCAGTGCATAGTTCAGTTTCACTACGAAAAGATTCCCTCAGTTTCGCAAATCCACAGTAAATACTCTACACTTAAATGTTTACACAAAGTCCTGTTTTCTTTAGGTTACAACTAGTTCTACACAAATATTTGACATCTGTAAATGTACACCTTAAGGTTCAGTTCTATAGTTTTCTGCCGAATTCCAGTGTTGGTTGGTTATTTTGTAACTGGTCTTCGGAAAGAGTAATGCAAGTTTACTCGTGATTAATTGTGACTGGTTTATAATATTGCATTAGTTTTGCAATCTGCAAGCTGCCTCCAATGAATGATATTTGAAAAAAACTTCCAATCCTGCAGTTTCCATGATATCACATACGCTGAAATACAGAATTCTGAAATAAGAAGTCTGCTTATCAGATTGTGTCCTTAAGTGGTTGTCATCCTGGAAGCTCAGCAAGTCTGGCCTGCTTTGTGCTAAGATGGGAGACTTAAGAAAATACATGTTGCTGTTGTGTTAAGTGGCAAGTTTCTCCCTGGATCAAGGCCCTGATTACTTGATCATAAAAAGATGCCATAAAGTAAGGGTGCAAAGGAATGAGTAATAGGTTTATACCATGCTGAAAAGAGAGGAAAGAAAACACAATGTTTTGGCTGTGGAGTCTTCTTCAGGTGTAAGAGTAAGGATGTTAACCAGAGTGTCTTGGCAAAATTCCATTCTTGGACTGCACATCAAAAATGCTCCTGAACGTTCTCTCTTTAATTCAGTTGGTTAAGCTGTTTCTCTCCCTTCCACCCAATCAGCTGCGCAGACTGCCTTCTGTGCGTCACCTACATCTAGTGGCAGTTAATGGATACAATGGGTTTTATGTTTTCAATTCATGTCTTAGGGGATAACCAAATGATACAAATAGATTCCAGGTGATTCCAAGCCAGGAATTCTTGGCTCAGTAGTCATGATGACTGTGGTTGAAACATATTGAATTAATTTGTCTTAAGCTGTCTTCCCATTTTATTTTATTTTTTTTGTGTAAGTTGATCTTGTTTTGCAAGAGACTGGCAAATCAATTGATAGTAAATTCATTTTGGGCATGTGCCCTTTGGAAGTGCAAATCTTGTTTGTCTTTACAAAATAGAGAACACATTTTCTTTCTCCAGGGGCCTTAATTTAGCCATTTGAAAGCAAGTTGGCGAATGTCTGTGGTGGATGCCAGCTCTGTCATTAATGCAGTGTTTTTCTGTATCTCATCATACTGGGGTAAAGCATGCTTCAGAAATGACAAAAAAAAGACCTGTAATGTCTGTATGAGTATGGAGCTTTATTCTGGTACTCTTCTGAACACTCTGAAACAAATGGTGTGCTCCACGGTAGAGGAAAAAAGCAGAACTGGATTGGTTCACAATGTACACAAGATGTACAGGGATGATAGGATTTTTATGATTTCCTTGTCTCAACAGCTTATATTCTTGATACTATAAAGAGTTGTTTCACACATACAGTATGAGCTGGGAACTGTCAGATTTTTTATTGCAAACC